ATTTTTATCTTTTGAGAAAATTGACAGTAGAGTTAAAATTCAACTGGCTAAATGAAAACGAGACAGAAGCCGAGGTTTTTCTTAAGGTCTTGGATCACATAATGATGATAATCACATATGACACAGTCCTTTGCAGAATGATTCATTTTGATTGAGTGTTTGCTCGGTTTGTCACATTACAACCAAGAATATAAATACATTTGATTGTAATTGTTATGTGACAGATAAACATAAAGGAACAGATAAATGTCCACTCCAGTCTAAAATCTTTTTGTAGCTTCTAGCTATTTTAGTGATTACATGCAAGTATTAGGTCAAGTATTTATCCAGCAATATTTTCAGCTGATGTTTCTCATCCAACATCCACATTTTCTGTGTCAATCCCAACATGTGTCAGTAGGTGGCTTTTAGAGAAATGACTTGTTTGTAGAAGAAGTTATGAAAACATGCATACTAAAATCATTTGTATATCCTCCAGTGTAATTGTAGCCAGGCTCCAGTTCTCTGTCCACTGCTAAATGGGGAAAAAATAAACATTAGAAACTTGTAATGGTTGTGCAAGAATCATCATAGTTAAGACAATGGTGGAAGAAAGCGCACATGATGTAGAGGCTGAGAAGTAAATATTTTCTGATTAGAAATAAATGCTGGTTTAATACTTTTAAACAGAGTAAGCTTTCACTGTTTAGATCTGAATGGATTACCAAAGTTAGCTATATTTGCTAAATGTTTGAGTAATATAAAAGCATTTTGAAGATAAAATCTTTAAAAACGTATTTCAATTCAGATGTGGCATACATTTAATTAGTATTTGTAGCTACTGAATACTAACACTAAATACTTCTTATTCCTCAGATTGGATTTAATTTTTCTGTGTTCAATCCACTCTGTAACTAATCTGTGTGATTTGGGTCATTGTCTATTTAGACCCACTTGTGTCCAAGCTTTAATTTTCTGACTGATGTTTAAAGTTGTTACTTCAATATTTCCACATAATGTTTTTTCTCATGATTTTATCTATTTGATAAAATTTTTCAATCCCCGCTTGATGTGAAAACACTGCATCATCATGATGCCGCCACCTCTGTACGTTAGCTGGAATGGTGCAAACTTCCTAATTTATCCTCCTCATGTTACAGCGGCCATTACGGTCACAAATACTCCAGTTTTAGTTTCCTTTAGACCTTAATCTGTCTCTGAAGATTTAAGTTCTTTGTCTCTGAGTTTATATGGAAACTAAAACGTGGATTTTTACTTGATCCTGTCCCTGGATTAACGTTTTTTTTTTTTTTTTTTTTTTTTAAATCTCCGAGTGGCATTTCAGCTCTTGTTTCATTGTGGACATTGATACCATCCCACCCTCTTTGGCCAGCCTCTTATGATCTTTTGCTTTTGCTCTGGGGTTGATGCCCACCTGAACACTGAATTCATCAACTTCCCAAACGATGGAGTGGCTCAACATCCTCAAGATGTTTACAGTTGTGTATGATAATTTGAAATTATACCCAGAGTACCCAGAGAGAACCCATGCATGCACAGGGAACGCATGGAAACTCCTTGCAGAAATCCTCGGGCCCAGGATTCAAAACCAGACCTTCTTGCTGCAAAGCAATGGTTCCACCTTCTGCCTTGCTGTTCAGGCCTGCACTTAAATTTCAAAATATTAGGAAGCAACAAAATCTGATCTGAAACATAAAAAGCGTAGGCTCATTTAACGTTGAATAGCTGTGTGTCATACAGTTCTATTCCCATAAGTGCAATAAACTCACTGCTGGAACTTTTCTTGCGAGTGCTCAGAGCAGAGCGCTGCAGTTTGCTCTTCGAAAGACCCAACAAATGAATATCTGAATGGTAAATATTTGGTTTCCAGCTGTCACCGCTTTCAGGCCCAGTACGGTCAACAAGTATAAACCTTTGTGATTAAAGCGGTCTTTGTTTTGGGTAAACAGTTACCTCTCCAAGTTTTTCCCCTTCTTGTTCTTTTTAAGCATTTAACTGTAGTAGTGAGTGATTTTTTTTTTTCTTTTTTCAACAGTAATTTGCTCCAGTCTGCAGCATGTCGGTGCAACCAGTAAGGAGATCTGCTGCGGATCTAAGAATCGGTGCACATTAGGTTGGATGCTGAGTGAAGCCAGGATGAGGAGAAAATATTTCTGAACACAAAAACACAGACGCCGTCTTTTCACAACCACAAATCTTTTCTCATTTTGTACATAGTTTCCCAGCAAACAGTCTGACCATTAGCGGGTTTCTCATGCCGCTTATCTATTAGATGATCAATTATAAATGTCATACATAATATTTTTTTTCACATGCGCACCTAGAGGAAGTGCTGTATTGTTTAAACATATGGCCCCGATTTTTATTATCGTTCAGATTCCCTCTAATACTCTGAGAGGGAATTGCTCATTTTACGCAGAACTGCACAAGCCTCCAAAGGATTGTGGTGAAGGATCAAAAGTGAGCATAAAGTGTTCGTGGATTTAAAGATGTGTTGGCGAGAACTTTTGCGATCGGATTTAAAATGTTGTGCCCGTCTTGCTTACAGGGAAGTAATAAAAATCTCAAATGGTCTTTTTTTTTTTTTTTTATTCAGTCGTTTGAGAATATTGGATTTACCACAGTGATGAGGTCTAAAGTGGCTCTGTGAGCTACAAAGAAGAGGACATGATGCTTTTAAAATAAACAACTACTGTAAAGATTTGGTGGTTTTTTATTTTATTTTTTATTTCATTTTATTTTTTTTATTTGTTGCAACCGTCTTTCTTCCTCCCCTTGTTTCTACAAATACACACATTTGTGTTTTTGTGTTTCCTTTGTGTGTGTCTCTGTGTGAGTGTGGATCTGTCCTGACTGTCAGCCAATGCTAGAGAGCGACCCGAGTCTTCTTCCTCCTTTGGTAAAAGAGGAAATATGAGTCAAATGGACACAATTGGTTCTAATAAGATGTGACCAGCTGCACAGGAAAAAACAGACTGACATGCCACCAGAAAACATCAATACAATCGGTCTGATTTGTTTCTAAGGCATGTTGGGAAAAAAAAAACAAAACTAATTTGCATGTCTTTCTTTTTCTGTAGGCCTCTTCCAGGGCTGCAGGTGCATAAAGGGCATGCAGACGGCTTCTGCAAATATTAGTGAGAGAATGGGTCACTTTCAGGAGACTGATGTGCAATAGGATGAGTCTGAGTAGTATGACATCTGCCAAGATGGCAGCTTCCATTGTGTCAAATGTAAAGTTGGTTTGAGCGGGGATTATGTGTATTAAGACGTTTTGGACAATTTCATAATCCCAACTCTATGAGAACAGTTGGAGATCCTCTCTTTATGTGGCAGAGAGCACAAAGTTATTCCTTAGAGACATGGGCGTGTGAGTTTGGTGAGGAAGAAGTTGACTGGTCTTCACAAAGTTCAGACTTTATCTCTATATAACCATTTCTGGATTAGTTAGAGCGGAAGCTGGAAGCAAAAAACGTTTTCCTCCTACATTAGTGCTTGAGCTCACAAATGGACCTCCGGAAGAATGGTCAAATATTCCCATGAACACGGTCATGGGTCTGGAAATGACACAAATGCAACCATGTTGTAGAAAACCTCTACAGGAGAGTGAGGCTTGTAAAGCTGTGAACTGTGGCCCATTACATTAAACACCACAGATCAAAAATGAGACGTCATAAAGTTCATAAACAAATGAATTAAGTTAAGAACAGATTATACACTACACTATCGTAATAATATATCCACTACATAACGCTACAGTAGATGATTCCAACTTCCTAGTATGTCTCGCAGTGATATTTGAGTTATATTCTCCCGTCATGACGATACAAGTTTATACTGTCCTCAAACAAACTGCTGTAAATAAGTTTCCACATACATTTAATTATTTTTTAATTTTTTTTATTATAAAAATTTAAAAATTCAAATGGGTAATATATTTTGAGGCATGGTAAAAGTTATGCATCCATCATGTGGTTTGATAATTCATACAAAATGCTCCATGCTTGTGTCTTATTCCCAAGGGATTGTAGGTTGGAGCAGGAGATTGATGACAGATTGGCTGCAGCAATGTGGGAGGTGCAGCAGCCTTTAGTGGTGGTGGGGGAATAAAAAAAACCTAAGCAAAGACGGAAAGGCTCTCGTTCAGTTTTTTTTTTTTTTCGTCTTTCACCTATTTCCGTGAGATGTGAAACAAGGCTACAAGCAGCTGAAATGAGCTCAGCCTTATAGAGACGGAGTGAGGAGTACCAGAGCAGAGCTGCTGTTCCTCAAATTAAAAAGGAGTCGGTCCAGATGGTTTGGTCATCCGATCGGGATGCTTCCCGGCCGTCTTCCTTGGAGGTTTGTCCTGCTCTACAGGAGGCCACAGCGAACACTCACCACCTGCAGGAGAGACCATCACTTCCCACCTGGGAATGTCTTGAGATCAGAATTCGTTCTGCGCTCCTAAAAGAGATCAATCGAGGTGAACGCGATAAAAGTTTTGGTGTCTGTAAATTGTCCCAGTTGTCAAAAAATATACATTTATATGGTTGAAACTTTTGATTTTCAAAAGATTTGCAATGCTTTGCCAATGACATAACATTATAATAATCGTTTAATCTTATTGGGAGGTTATTACAAAATGTCCTTATTAAATTTAACAGTCTCTGTTAGATTATTGGTTGCTGGAAGGTCTGAGGCTGAATTTAGAAGTTAGCGTTCAAAGAAAAAAAAAAACACATTTTCCTTTAGTAAGCTGGGTAAATTGCTGCTCACGCCCACTTTAAGCGATTACATAAAAGTCTGCCTCCTCACAAGACAGATGTGAAGTAAAACATATTTCAAAACTGTGTTACTACGCACGAAAGACAAGACGGCAATCCGCCAGCGGTATTGAGGGGAGCAAAAGAAGATGGCTACGCAGCAGAAACGTAGTGATTGTCATTTCCCTCAGAGGTAACCTGAGCCAGGCTGGAGGACAGCCGCCACATTTCATTTCCTTGTGTTTCTCCCTGCAGAGAGGGACTTCACCAGTCTATGCGAGAAGCAGCCCATCGGCCGGCTGCTGTTCCGTCAGTACTGTGACACCCGGCCAGAGCTGAAGCGCTGCATCGACTTCATGGACGCTGTGGTAAGAGCAGAGTTTGGTAGCATGTACTTGCATTTACTCAGTTATTATTTTTACTACGCTGTACTTTTTTTACTTTTTAATATGGAGTTCGGCCTCTCTTTAGTGAAATTTGTGGATACTCTACGCACCGTGAGCAGCTTCACTGAATGAAGAATTCACCAGACACAAACGCCTTGAGTTTCATAAGTTTCATATTGAAACAAGCAGATGTGGAAAAATGTTTCTGTCGCTTGATTTTATTATTTTGTAATTATGCTGTCTGTATCAATTATTTTCATTTTGTTCTTTAAAATTCCCACATAACTTTGTTTTGGTCTGTCTGACGTAAGTTTTTACCAAATACTTTAACGATTACCCATCGCGGTCTTTGACGATCCCACAGCTGTCCCAGATGCTCTCTTGCTTGTCGTGTTTCTCCCCTCACATCGTCCATCTGTCAGCTGGGTCTCGGCCTACATCGGGCCGTGCAGAACGAGAAATGGGAGCGGTAAGCCGGCGCTCTGCCTGCATGGGTGGGTGATTAGTGACTTTGGTTGTTAAAGAGCAGACCCCTCCTCTTCCTCTCTGCACTCCTCCATGAGGTCAGTCCCACGTCAGAGGCAGTTCCCCTGGGTGAGCAAGCAAACACAGGCCCGAGCTTGTGTCTAGGCCCCTGGTGGTATGCAAGAAAGGAAACACAGGGGTGAGGGGGGTCGTGCCTGTTTAATGAGGACCTATGTTAGGGGTTTTCACGGTGTGCAGGCACACTGCACAAACACAAAAAATCTCACCAAATGTATTTGGCCTAGTTTTGAATGCAAATATTGTGAAATGAGACAAAACTAACTCGTAGCTTTTCAGCAAGAAATAGTATGATATGAAATGGAAAAGGTACTAGTGCCAGATTTTTTTCCACTTATAGAAAAAAAATGTCTTGTTCCATTGGCAGACTAGTACTTTTCATTAATATTAAGGAATTACTGACTGTAACCGAGCTTCTTATGTGTTGCTGAACAATTTGTTTTGTCTATCTTCAAGTGTAGTATCGTTACACTAGAAACTAGACCAAAAATACTTGGTAAGACTTTTCATTGCAAGCACTAAACATGCACCTATTTGAATAAATCTCTAGGGTTATGTGTGTTCTGACGTTTCCCCTCCGGAGTGTCACGTTGTTGCTGTGATGCATATTTGCAGCGCTCGGTCCTCTTCCTCTCTGCAGAGCTTGTTTTCTAACAAGCTCTGCAGTCTGGGAGTTTCAAACTCCCAGACTGTTTCCCCACGTACGGCCATATTTGACCAGAGGCACAGCCCGTCATCCTGTCGGGCAACAATTGTAATGAATGAAGCGGGAAGATGAATAAAGTTGTCGTTTCGCAGAGTTCCTTTCATTACTTTCTGCTTTTCTCTTCTTAAACCGTTATTTATTTTTATTTTTCTGGATTCAGGGCCTCCCATTCTGCCCGTCTTCTCTCTCTCCCCTTATTTGGAGAAGTATTAAAGATGGCTGAATGAGCGTGGCTTAGCATGGCGTCGCTGCTCACGTGTCTGTTTCTCCTCCAACAGGCCATGTACCAGCTAGCTCCCGACGAGAAGAGGAGGGACTGTGGACTGAATGTATTAGACACATACTTTAATAACGGGGTAAGACGCATGAACATGTTTACTTTGATTCAGAACCAGTTGATGCAGTTTTACATCTTAAACTTCCAGTGAGGCATTGTAAGAGTCAGTGTTAAGTATTTATATCTGAAAATGCAGGTTTGCCCTGATGGCTTCACGTCGTACAGATGCAAAACATTTTCTTCCCCCCATTTGTGAGGATCAGCAGATGATGAAATTACTGCGCGATGAGAAACACAACTTTGTGTTCTTGCAATTGCCATTGCCGTGATTTCCACCAAAACTAAGGTTTCCAGTAATGTGTTTGGTCACTCTGATGGATTTCACTGTCCTTTATGACTACAGCTAATTTCAGATCACTCAGGAGAGAGTGCTAGGGATGATTTACTGTAATCCATATCCAAAGTGAACTTTGGTGGGACTAAATTATCTTTGTCATTCTCTGTTGATCAAATTGTGCCCACAATCTAGGAAACAATGATGTTTAATTTCAGTATTTCCCTGATCTGTATTATAGAGTGAAAAAGAAAAACAGACAATGAAAAAAATGTTTTATTTATATTTATATAGTCCTTCACTCATTCCTTTTGCCCTTCCTTCTTTCTTTACTTCCTCTATTCTTCTGCTCTTTCGTTTTCCTTCTTTACTCTTTCTTTTTCTCTTTCTGACTTTCTGTCTTTCTTTCTCTTTCTCCCCTCCTTGTGCACCCCTGTTCTGTCCACAGAGGTTCATGGGCAACTTGTAATTTATGTTAAACATGACTGAAAACTTTGATAATTTTAGAATGGAAAATTTTTATATATCATCAATACATTACTCGTGTAAAGTACTTTAAAACCCACTTTATTTTCGAGTGAATCCTCCCCTCCCCGTCTCATCTTGTGTTTCTTTGTCTCCTTCCAGTCGGCGGCCCATCTACCCGACATTCCCCAGGACGTTATCGCTCGGTGCCGAGAGAGGCTGGAGCAGAGTCCATGCAAGGAGCTCTTCAACGACTGCACCAAGTAAGTCTTGAAACTCAGCCCTCGTCCTCCAGCTGCGATCGGACTCGCGCGCAGCAACAAAACGTTTGTAGAAAGCTCGCGACTTACCTCTGCCATCGATTGTTGCCGTCAGCGTACGGAGCCAGCGGCTCCACTGGGGACTGTTCGTGTTCTCGTGGCACCGTCTCGTCTTTGGTAATGGCGGGACAGCTGACACCTGGGGTTATGTAACACTCGTAAACACGCACGCACAAACGCAGCGCTGGGCAGGGAAAGCATCCGGACGGCTGGCATGGAAACAACAGCCACCTCAGTCTTCCTCGTAGCCGCAGGTTGACAAACACGCACGCCGTTGCAGGTGTTTGTGCTTCCTCCGCTGAGAGCCAAAGGAAGCAAACAGACTGGCTTTTTTTTTACTGCACACACACACACACACACACACACACACACACACACACACACACACACACACACACACACACACACTATTACTTGTATACTGCCGTCTAACTTTGTTTTACCTCAATAAGTGCTGCTGATAATCCATGACCTTCATGGTACGTTGCATCATGTACGTGGTGGTGATACATGATGTCAAGGTCATCAGTAATTCATATATCGTTTTGTTCTCTGATAAATGCTAAAAACTGAGAACAATTAAGTTACAGGTGATGTATGTTCCAGGTGTATCACTGGAACATACAAACAATTTATTGTTTGCTTGAATAAATTAGCAGAAATTTGGCACAGGAACTGGTGGGCTTGATATTATCATATAACCTTTGAAAAAATCTCCCTTTTGCATCAGCTGGCGCCTAACGGCAAGTTATTTTACAAAACTGTTGTCAAGTTCCTAAAATATTTTCCAGAATGGCCGTATTTAGGAAGTATTCATACATTTTGACCTTTGTCATATTAGAGATGCACATTTATTTGGGATTTTGTGTGATAGACCAACATGAGGTAGCAGATAATTATATGTTTTAAGGAAATCTGAAGTTTTACACTTTTCTTAAGTCTTTACACTTTTCTTAAGCACTTTTCTATCTGATGCTTTACATCAGATAGAAAAAGAAGGAGACGGCTCAAAGCAAACAAAAAAGAATCGTGGCTAAGCCGGATAAACGGGCCTCTCAGGTTTTCTTCCAGGACTGCCCTATATTTGGTACCGTCCAGCTTCCATAGCCCTGCTGAAGAAAATCATCCCCACAGCATGATGCAGCCACCACTACAGTGGTAATTTTCACTCCCTGATAGCTTTTAGTCACACTGACCGTAAAGTCAGGAATTCCTTCTAAACTCTGTTCCATAAAGGAAAGATTTCTATGAATTCTTTCAGGCGATGGGGTTGGGATTGAACTATACGCAGGTGGACTCGATTTACTAAGATGTGAATTCTGAAGGATTTTGGTTTACAAAATAAAACATGAAGCATAAATCCATTTTCTTCTACATCAGTAATTCTGTTTTTCTCATATAGGTTGCTATTTCTTAAGCATTCAGTAGATTGATTTCAGCTCCCAGTATGACGGAATAATATCATGGCACCTAAAATGGACCTTTTGTATCATATTTTTTTTTGTATTGTAGCAATATTGTAAAAAACAATTTTTAGTTGTGAATATAACAGTCATGTTTAGACCTGTAAATGACAAAAAATAAAATGAAAAATAAAAATTATTTTACAGACGGCATAGTAATACAAGAACACATTCTCAAAGATTAATAAACTTTAAATTCGGATGAACGTTTAACACTGGAACAGGAAGAGATTTTAAATATCCAAAATAAACAAACAAAACAACAGAAACAACAAATAAATGAATTATGATGTGTCTACAAACAATATTTTCCTTAAAAAATGGCCAGTTGAGTGCAAAACACCAGACTGAAAAAGTTTAACATCCAATTTTTGGTGGAAAGAGAAACGAATGATAAATCAGGCAAATAGAAGTTATGGAGCTTGTTTTAATTTATCATGCGATTAATTGAGTTATTGTTTATTGCGACAGGCCTCGTCATGTTGTATAATCAGGGCTGATCTTTCCTCCATCCAGAATTGGTACAGGTCCAGTATAAAGAAAAGGGAAGTTAAAATCTCTGCCGAGTCCACACATCCTGGACACAAACTGTTTAGAGCTTTACCTAACGTCAGTACAGCAGTTTCTTTCTTGTTTGTTTGCTTTTTTTTGTCATGTCGTATAATGAATGGACAGTCGTGATCAGCTAATCGTGGTGAATAAGTCCTGATTTCACTCTTTCTGGTTGTCCGCTGCTACGGTTTCTAAGCACCGGCTCCAAAGTCAACTGAAGCGCTGCTGATGGATTTATCTTTCTGAATGTCTTCACGGCTGGTTGGAAACGAGGCTCATATAAACCATGCAGGTTGATGAAAATCAGACTGGGAATACCGGGATCCAACTCTGAGCTCTTTCCGTACCATCCGGTGTTTCTGTTGACGATTTAACCGCAGATGATCTGCTCCGATGTGTGTTTCCGAGACACTTCAGCGTCTCGGTGGTTCTAGTGAGCGAGCGCTCATTAGAGCAGCTAAACTTGTACACCTCAGATATGTTGTTGATATTTTCTCGCCAGCAGACTGTTTGATTTTTTCCAACCTGTTTCCTGGAAACATGCTTTCATGTTTGTGTGAGGATTTAGTGGCTCGAGGGACATTTCCATATTTTACACCCTCTTAGGTTGTCCACTTTTGAATTAATCATCTGGCAGGTACAAAAGTCTTGGCTCACCCTACTTTGCTTGCGAGTAGATTTTCTTGTGATCTTTTAAAGTGACTTCAGCAAGGTTTCTCAAACGATCTCCTTTTGTCCAGGACTGGACAGAAAATGAGTGGAAAAAAAAAGAAAATATTAAATTGTGGAAAAAGGCCAATTTAAGAGAAAAGCAGAAAAGTTTGACTCATTAGAAGTGAAGTTTCTGCTTTTCTTAAAGCATGGTTTAAAATTTTTGCACAGACTCGGTGTGGGGTGGACCAGTGACTCACTTTAGATCCTCAGAAAAATGTTTTAAAAGGAATTCAGGAAAAGTGAGGATCAGAGTTGGACCAACCACAAGGTTTATTCTTGCTGAATAAAATAACAGAACTCGAGAGACGAGAGAAAGTTACATTGTTTAACATTTTTCCGATGCATATTTTTGTACTAACCCTAAAAAGAAAGATAAAGTTCAACCAGCTGCATTCAGAAATCTCAGATGAAACTAAAGCTAAACTTTTTGCACTGAATTCCCCACAATAAAACACGGTGCTGGCAGCATCATGCTTTTGGGATGCCTGTCTGCAGAGTTGATGGGATGGATGGCTCTAAATACAGGACAATGGTGGAAGAAAACCTGTAGAGACGAGGACAAAGGTCCAGTAGGACAACTGACGTCCAACCAGAGACACACTGGATGTGTTTAGTTCAAAGAAGATGTGTTTGTGATAATGACCTAGTCAAAGTCCACACCTTAAATGTACCCTTTCCATCTAATTTGTCTGAGTTTATTATTCTCTCTATATAGTAACAACCCAGGAGAACCACAGCTGCAGCTAAGAGGCGTTTCCTCAGCAGACACACTTCCTCAGATCATCATAAACTTGTAAACCTGAAATGACTGGAGAACATGAACAAAAGATTTCCTCAAGTTTCCATTTCTCCACGATCATTCTGCTTTTAGATTCCCTCTTTGTTTTTAAATGAAGTGCCGTGCCTCAGCTGTAGGAAACGTGACTTCTGGCAGAACATTTGCTTGCTCCTGGATATTCCTGCATGTGCTGCGGTCCAACATGGTGTTATGTCACATAGTGTCACCCTTCGGTGCAGTTTTTCCCTCATCCTCTCGTTTCTCTTCTCTCTCCGTTTGCGCCACATAGACCATGATCCAGCGCAGCTTGGTCAAAGCTTGGCTCTTTAAACTTTAAACCAGGAAGATTTGAAGAGGAAAGATATTAATCGGTGGGATTGTGTTCCTGAAATCCTGTTGACAGCTTTTTATGTATATTACTCTCATACACAGAGTATCTGTGCTGCACAGAGACATAGCATATGTTTCTTTCTGTCTCAGCAGGGGGTCTTTCCTTGTGGAAACTCTGAAGGGTTTTGGCCAAAGCAGCGAGCGCTGACCACAGGCAGCTTTACTTGCCTTGCTTAGTGTTAAAGTATTTTCAAATTATGGTTTGGGAAAAAGATTTTTGAACCCAACATCAGCATCACGTCATCATTTTGGATATAGAGGTCGGATATTTGCTCTGACTTCAGTTTCTGTCTGTGAGTAGCGGGTTAAATAAAAGAGAGCGTTTTTTCTGTAACTCGCAGGTTTTGTGAACAGAGGAGTGTTACGGCTTTCTGTACCTGCAGAAATTTGCTTGCTGTTGATGAGATGACAGCAGTTGATCAAACCACAGTTGTGGAAGATCTGAAGCTATTTCAAGATTTTAGAAACATCGTGGCAAAAACTTTAAAAGAAATGTAAACGTGTAGCTTCAGTGTAAATTATCTGGATGATTTATCTTATTAAATAATACGTCATTTTGCAGAATAAACTGTATTTCGCTGTATTTAAGGTTTTGAGCAGGAAGGTTCTAGATTCAAATCCCACACAGCATTTCTTTGCCGAGACTTCATGTTTCCCAAAGCATACATGGGTTCTCGCCAGGTACTCCGGCTTCCTCCTGCAGTGCCAAAACAAACGTGTGAGGTTAATTTTCTTCCTTACTTAGACATGTGTGCTGATCCGTCCTCTCTCTCTGTTGTTGTAATGGACTGTCCACTTGTCCAAGTCATTTTATTTATCATGGTTAAAGCTTTTTGCATTTATTTTACTTATTTGTTACAAATATTCTGTATTTTACAGCTGGTCTTTGGATTGTATTCAGTAATATGTCATAAATAGCATTGCATAGTTTGACAGTACTGAAATATTTCCCATCTCGTGACACTTTTATTTTACTTTATTTCTTTTTTTTTATGTTTTATTTAACTTATTTAGTTCAAATTATTTATTTATTTAGTTCAAATGATTGTTACGTAAGCAACAAGTCAATTAATCACATAATAAATTAAAATGAGCTTGATGATTCCCATTTGCGTGATTCTGTTTTTCTCATGTCTCTCTTTCTGGATGTCAAATGGCTTCAGCCTGGAGCATGGCTCTCAGCTGTCCCCATTTTTGAAGGGTGATTGTGTTTACAGAGACTTCAGCAAATGTGTGTGTTTTGTTTCAGTGTGGATGTTTAAAATGTTTTCCAGTTACAGTGTTAAGTGATTATTAGAAATTAAAGTTTATTGGTCTGAGAGACGCTGTACTTGCAATATTATTCCATTACCGTTATATTACCTGAAAAATGATCTCAAAATAACAATATTATCGTTTATTGCAATAACTTCTGAGACAATTAATCGTCCAGTAAAATGTATCGTGACAGAGGAGTTACATTTTTAAAGTGTGCTTTGTCGTCCACAACCCAGATTTCTGCTCTAACCTGGCGCTCCCTGTATTCTGAAGCATTATAATGTTTTATCACTTTACAGCCTTGTCTGGACAGACAGCACAGCTTATTACTTAACACTTACTTAAAGGGAGTGTTACAGAAGTCAAAGAAAGGAGCCGACGGTCTCAGATTGTCAGTTTTCTGACATTTTCCCAAGAGGCGGTGCTAATTTACATTTTAAGTGTGAAATCCACAAAGCCTTTTATTATTTTTTGTTTGTTTTTTTTATTTGAGGTCTAGGTTTTTGTTTGATGTGTTCAAATAACACAACCCACTTCCCCATTTGACTTCGTAGTTACATTATATTTACTGTTCTGTGTGAAATCGTATCTCGACCCAGTTCAAAGGCAGTTTGTTTGTATTTTTCACAGTGTTAAAACCTGGTTGTTGATTTTCTTTTTTCTTTTAATCTTTCCACTAAAAGTTGCTGTGAACAGTAACTCAGCCAGCAATGCACAAAATTACAGGGCTGCACAAACGTAAACACATGCTGGGGAGTAGATCGTGATTTAATGTTGCTCTGCAGCCTGGTGAGAAGTTCGTCTTATCAGAATAATCACAACCCCTCTTTCTCTTCTTTCCCTCCCCCCTCCAGAATAGTTCGCGATTATCTGAGCGGAGCTCCATTTTCCTCCTACCAGGAGTCCATGTACTTTTCTCGCTTCCTGCAGTGGAAATGGTTGGAAAGGTGGGTACAGCCGGCAAACGCAAAGCATCCACTGTGATCTTGTTTATGGAGAACATTTAGACTGTACTGCTTTCTCTTGGTCTTGGAAAATGGCTGACACCAGAGCCTATTAGTCATATAAGTAGCAGCAGCAATGTTTGCTCTAATACATAAAGGTGGGGCTGCCAATCAGTCTGTCTCTGCGAGAGGTTAATAATTTATACTTTGCATAATGGTTGGAGGAAAAGAGCAGGATGGAAACAGCAGTCATCAGAGTGGATTAATAATAAATTAGACCATTAATCTGTCTGCTACATCACATGGTGTGTCAGAGTGACATCAGCTGGTATATTAAGCCCTTTTTCTCTCCTTTAACACTATTCTCTCCCGTTTTTAACATCTTCTTCTTGTTTGTTTTTGTTTTTGTTTTTTTTTTTTGTTTTTTTTATCCCTGCAGGCAACCTGTAACCAAAAATACCTTCAGACATTACAGAGTACTAGGAAAAGGTGGATTTGGCGAGGTAAGATCAGGTTGATTGTTGTGTAACTGTGTAATATTTAATATTTAAATAGAAAGACCAAGTTGTTCAGATTCACATGAACCCCTTTTGTTCGCTTTTTCAGGTTTGTGCCTGCCAAGTACGTGCCACCGGTAAGATGTACGCCTGTAAAAAGCTGGAAAAGAAACGGGTGAAGAAGAGAAAAGGTGAAGCAATGGCACTAAACGAAAAACGCATATTAGAAAAAGTTAACAGTAGTTTTGTAGTAAGTACGACTTTTTTTCTTATTCAACCTTTCCCTGAATTGCATCTGTGTCGTATGCATGCATGCCTGGCGCTTGCGGCTGCAGGGTTCTGCAAATGAAAGCAAATGACGTGTTTGCAAATCCCTTAATTGTCACCTGCTAAAAGTTAGATGCAGCAAAACTGGAGTTCTGCTTGTTTGGCTTTGAGGAGAGAGATTTATTACAATGAAACCACAAAAATATTGTCTTGAATGATTTCAGGAATATTTAAACATTCTGACCACTTATGTTGCTCGAACGCATTAAATCAAAGTCATATTCAGTATTTTATATAGAGGATGCAAACACCTGAAATTTGGGTTTATTTGCAGCATGCTGTCAGCCTCAAATGTTTCAGTATTTCCTTGAAACTGATTGAAAATTTATTCTTGCCAACAAATTGTCATGGTTTTATGTTATCGACTGCAAGTCAGACTGCGTTGCAGGTGAACACACACTTAAAACCAAATGCATTCTCAGTGTCTGACATGAAATGAGTCGGTTGGGATTGATAAAATTATTTCTATTTGCTAAATGCCAGAATAATGACTGCATTCTTTAGATTTGTATTTTATTTCCATTTGTTCATCTGTTCAAACATTTCCATACAAGCGTAAACAGCATGTCCTGCCGTCATTCCGCCCAGGAAGGGCCCAGAGATAAAGCTGTCTTGGTTTGTATAAACCCCATAAAAACATCCAAACATCTCGGACTAGATTTAGCCAGAATCTTCCCGACAGCATCGTCACCCATCCTGCACCGGTTTTGGGCTGAAAGGCCACTCGGCGAGGAAGAAGCCGTTGCTCCACAAAACAACAAAGAAAGCCAGATTACAGTTTCCAAATGCACACAGGGACAAAGACCTTCAGTTTTTGAGACATGTCCGGTGGTCCGATGAGACTAAAGTAGAACCGTGGGACATTATTCCTCTTGATTGGAAGAATAATGGGGAGGCTTACAAACCAGAGAACATCATTCTAACTGTAAAGTACAGTGTTGGCAGCATCATGATGTGTGGACCGAACGTTTGACAAAATAGATGGCCTCATGATGAAGGCACATTTTCTCAGCTAGGAAGTTGAAGCTTAGGCTTAAAACAGACGGTTATCGTAAGCATACTACCAAATTATTAACAAAGTAGCTTAAGGACAACAGAACCGATGTTTTAGAGAGGCCATCACAAAGCCCTGACCTCAGGCGTTTGGAAAAATTTGGTCAGAGCTTAAGAAGTTTGTGTCTGTGAGGGAGAGAGAGGGTAGACTAAGTTCATAGATTTATCAAATAATTAAGGGATGTGTGCATTCATCTAAATTTGAAATAATAAAATTTCTCTTCTTATTCTGGCTCCTTGTAGATGCAGACATTTAACTGACCTAAAAACATAAAACTTGTATTTTGATTAAATGTCAGACAAAAAGAGAAGTGATGGTCCTCTTCTCGTACAATGTGTGCAAATATTTGGTCTCGGCTGCATACTTTCTGGGGGGAGGAAAAATCAAATGAAGTCCAGTTTCTGAATGCTCTCTTTTCTCTTGCTGCTCATAAGCTCTAGCTAACGCAAAAGTTTTTACCCCTATCAGCTTTTTACTCGTTTCCTTCCCAGCGAAACAATCAAAAAAGAAATGGAAATATCTAGTTTTATATAGTTACCCATGCTGTACGTTGATATCGACTCTCAAGCTCAACTGCACAACCAGGAATGTGTGTTTCTCTTTCCATTTGCTCCAGGCGTTTACACAAACATACATCACTGCAGGAGAAGAAAGTGTACTTTTGCCACGATTTACTTCTGTTAAATAAATCAGTGAATGTTGGAAGTTTGACATATTTAGAAGTCTTTTGAATCTCAGACGAGCTGGATGGACAGACCATTCTGAGATAATATAGAGCAAAAAAATGTAGTCTAATATTGATCTTTATTGTCCTCCAACTAATAAATTATCTTGTTCAACCAACAGTGGACATAAAAATCACTGTAAAACCAAAAACAAACTTGATTTGGATTGCAGGACATGCAGCATCGCTTATCAAAAAGCGATGCTGCATGTCCTGCAGAACTCATGCTCACAATAGCTGGCTATGTGTGTGTGTGTATGTGTGTGGTTATTGACTTCATTGCTGTGGATTACATAATGTTGTGTTGTGGTGTGTGGTCTTATGACTCGGACTGCTAGACGGCCTTTTTCAGATTTGTTCTCGATAATGATCACATATGATTTTGGTGTAAAGATTCACACTTCATTAGGACTGTTACTGGAACAAAGATGAGAGCTTTGACATCTGCAACAACTTCACTGCCAGACACAAAATCTTACCAAATATTTATGGTCTAGTTTCTTGTGCAAATATCTTAGTTTTGTCTTACAAGTAGCTCTCCACTGGCAGATTACACCAACAAGTAGTTTTTTTCTTCAATATTAATGAATTATTGATTTAAAACAAGCCCCTATTTATTGCTGAAACGTTACTTGTAAATTAGATTTGTCTTATTTTGAGCATACTAAAATATTTGCGCCACAAACTAGACCAAAAACACTTGGTAAGATTTTGTGCTTTCACAATGTTGGAGTCCTTTTCTCACAACAATCCGACAAGAATTGCGATTGAAAAAGGATTCCGATACGGATTTAGATTGCTGCGTGGAAATCATTTTGACCGTGGGAACGCGTACAGGCTGTCGCAGAACGACGGTATTGATGTTTCGCTCGGCAGCGCTGTGCCTCGAAGCCTCTTCGTTCTCTCCACTTGTAGCCAACGGCTGTGTCGAGGTTGTGCAGTGTTGGATTAGTCGATTTCTGATGCAGCGTGAGTTATGTTGTGCGCCCTTGATTTGAGAGAGTCATGGTAGAGGCATGCTCATTCACACACACGCACACATACACACACTTGCACATGCACACAGAGGCTGGAGTGGGCATGTTGCTGAACCTCAGACTTGCAGCTCCAGTCACCTGGGATTGGCACATGTTTTTTTTTTTTTTTTTTTAACACACGCATGTGTGCGTGTGTGTATGTGTGTGTTGGTTCTGGCTTGCTGCAGGCAGAACTGATGACTCTTGATGTGCCTCTCTACCTACAAGAGCAGTACAGTTGCCTGGAAACGCTGACCAAACAGCAGCAGCGAGGAGAAGAGTCAAGTGCTCTCTCCAAGTCCTCGTTCCTCTCTCTCAGTATTGTTCTTTACCTTTTTGTGATTGGTGCATACTGTTAGTTAATGCATACCATTAGCCTGCTGCGTGTTTTACACGATGAGCCGCCCGTGTGCTTTCAGTGTGGGAGGATACATGGGAATTTGAGCCACAGGGGTGATTCTGCTCTGATGTGTGTAGCAGGGGAAGTGAGGTAGCGCTACCGCACTGTGCTGCAGTTTGTTTCCCATCTTTTTGACTTGCGCTTATCCCTATCAGTGTTGATGCAAGCACAAAATAGACGGCAGTATAAAGGAAAGTAGCAGTAGTAAGAGTTTTGCTTGGATTTAATCGGTAAAACTATTTGTTATGCTTGTGCATTTCAAAGGTGGTTCAGTAAGTACTGCAGGTATATTTGGTTAATTTTTATTATTTAAAGCAATTGCATTTTAAGGCTGCAAAGTAGAGTAGTTGATAGCATTGTTGCCTTGTGTTTGAACCCCTGCAAGGACAAATAGGTGTAGATGATGAATGGATGAATTTTCTTCATTTTGTCTAGTTTTAATTCTTCTTTTTTTTTTTGTTCAAATCCTTATCAGAATCCTTTAGTCTAAATTGGAAAATGCGAATGGAATAAAAACGACAGTTTTGTTTTTGGGGCATTTAATGTTTTTATAGCGAAATTACCCCTTGAGGTGGGCTTTTATTGTATCGCTTATTATTTATCATTAAAAATTTCTTATCTCAGTAAGTATTTTTGATTTATTGTTGCCTCGATACATTTCTATTAATCACGTCAAATACAAAACAAAACTGACAGTATTGTCAGAAATTATGTTTTTACTATTTGTTCCACAAGAGCATCAATAAATGTCAGTAAATTTATAAATTAAATTAACTTACTGTGTCAAGTTTTAGTAAATCAGTTTTTTTTAAGTTTCCTTTTTCAAATGGGTATGTTTCTCAAAAAGTAGTATTTGTGTTTGTGGTTTTATGAACGCCGAGCCATGCAGTCACAGCCGTACAGTTGCCTAAAAGAGAAGCGATTATTTATTTTTATTGTTGCCACAATTGTACCATAAAATAACACAATAAAATTCTATATGCTGGATGTTTGTTGCTCACTTGGCCCATAGGAACGTTTTCCTTCCCTCCTTGTATTTTCTCTCTCTACACGCTCCATAGCAGATGGGATCCCTCCTGATGGCAGCAACATTTTACACAACTGCACATGCACACACTGTACCCTGTGTGTCACTGACCCACAGCAGGGAAGTGAGGAGAAGGGGGGGAGGCTTGTGGGAAAGAAGGAAAAAGGAGAGTGATTGATGATGGAGCGAGAGCAGCAAGATGGATTTTCCATCTCTGGGATACGTCTTCTTTGGGTTTCACGTTGTGTACGTTCCTGACGATCCATTTGGGATAATTGATGAATATTTGGGGAGCATTACACAACTCTGATATTAGAGTTGTGACTCATCCTCTCATTTCTCTCTCTTTATCCAACTTCTCCCACCTGGTCTCTGATCCAGGTTCATTACCGCTTCTGTAAATTTATCTCTTTGTTTTGTTTTTTTTCCCTCCCTCCTCCAGGTTAGTCTAGCTTATGCCTATGAGACCAAGGACGCGCTGTGCCTGGTCTTGACCTTAATGAATGGTGGCGACTTAAAGTTCCACATCTACAACATGGGAAACTCTGGCTTTGACGAGCAAAGGGCCCTTTTCTACGCTGCTGAGATCTGCTGTGGCCTTGAGGATCTGCACCGCGAGAGGATAGTCTACAGGTGACGCTTTACTTGCTGGAGGTTTTCGGGGATATTCTGAGGATGCAATCTGTTGTTCCAGAGAAAATGTTTCTGAAGGACAATTTGATTTACATACAGATTCTTAGAAGGCATAATGCGTCTGTCAAAATCAGTGAGAAATGGGAACATAAACACAGGTGCTCATAGAAGAAAAAGATGCCGCTAAATCTCCAGGCCTCAAGCAGCTATAACTGCAAAAACATGTTCATTGATCTCTACGTGTGTCAGAAGAAACAGCTGTCTCTGTGGTTTCAGTTCGCACTGCTTCAGTTCAGGCTTGAATCACTGATTTGAGGTCAGTTTCAGATCTCTGGTTTTGACCTACTGATTGCATCGGATGATTCTGATTCATTTTTAGGAGCCGCAACAAGCATCGTTGAAAATGTCTTTCCATTTTTCCTGCCATGAGCTACGTTTATTATGCTTGGTGGGAGCTTAGGTGAAATCGTGCTGCTGTGTAAGAGAGCAGTCGAGTTTTATAAATTCAAAACGGGACAAACTGAGGTGGAGTTGACAGTTTAAGCAAAAGATTTGCAACCTTTACAATCCTAAGAGCTACATTTGGCCTCAGTCCAGCTAAATAAACATCAGAGCCACAAATGTTACATGACTTTACATTAAAGAAAAAGACAGCTTATACTTTTTTGGTAAATTTTACTTCAGGAAATTTGATGTCATTTTCATAGAACCACATTTTCTATCTGTTTTAGATTCTAAGATACAGAAAACCATAAAACATTTGAAAAAAAAAAAAAAAAAAGAAGAAGATGGGTACAGTTTTTTATTTGGGATGTTAAAATTCATGAAAAATTGAGAAAAGAGCTTATAGTTTCAAACATGACAAAAAAAATTGTAGTAGTTGTGTCATTCTGTCATGGAAAAAAAATCTAACTGGTAAAACCATTATTTGGTACTAAATGTACATCTAAAACCTTAGTTGATTCATTTTAAGCCAGTTATTAAGAGCCATTGTGGAAGGTTTAAAGAGCTGCAGGTTGCAGACCCGCAGTTTAAACTGCCGATAGACATTAGCAGTTAGCATGGCTGACAGTGTTAGCGTTGATATAAAAATCATGGTTCCTACCTGGAGAACGCCAACTCTCACCTTAACACTCTCTTAAAGGTTTCCCACATTTCCAAATCCAGCAGGAGCCAGCATTAATACCAAACCGGCACAAAAAGAGCTTAAAGTTGACGTCCTGTATCAGATGGCTCCATTTTGTCCCTGAAGCGGTCGAAACGGACAACAGGTCCAGCGAGACTTCAACAGGTGCCGACTGGTCCGACCAGCTCTCTGTTGGAACAACCTGGTTAAACAGCTGGCATGGCTCTGTTAAAATACAGCTAAAATAAATAAAATTAATGAGCCGTTGTCCCTCAGTACCGACTACAACGCCACAGAGTGTTAAGAGTTAGCAAGACCATGTAGCACTAAAGTTTGGTGCATTCAATGAATAGAAAAAGATAGGATTTTTGAGTTACTAACCAGCAGGTAAAGCAGAAAAAAATCGTCCAATTCTAATCAACCTCCAGTTTCTTAGTGTACCTCTGAAAACACGGTTTTGAAATTGAATTATTTTCTGCTCAGCCCAGTCAGGCTGAACATTGGTGTAATTTATTTGTGTTTTTCTAAAGATCTAACTATTATATGTTAGGCTGGACTATATACAAAGTCTTATTCTTGTTTTTTTAATATTGGCATGTTGGATTGAAAGAAGGCTTAAGGAAAGTTGTGAGAATATTTCTATTTAATGTGTAAAATAAATTTAATTAAAGAAAAAAAAAGTTGAGATCTCATCTTGCATAGCTCTGCATTAAATGTCAAATTTCCCAACATCTTAATTTGCTCCTCTGGTGAAGATCAAAACTGCATTTGAGAGCATTTATTCTTCACTTATGTTGTTATACTCTTACTCTTCTAAAACATTGTTTTTGAGACCAGCTCTAATTTCAGAAGCAGCTCATAACTTGTTGTTTGTTGCAGAGACTTGAAGCCTGAAAACATCCTTCTGGATGACCGTGGTATGTCGTCTTTTTTTAGTTTTTACTACATCGATTTTTGGCTCAAAATGTGCTTCTTGTCCTTCATTTTTCATTTCACAAATTTGGTCTACAATGTCCAAATCAAACAAGCTGCACTGTATCGGCCCGTTTTCCTTGGCTGCAGACTCACTGTTTTAAGCTTGCCTTACTCTCTCCTTGCACTCCTTTTTGCATTAACATTAATTTGCTCACATCCATCTTGAAGTAAAAGAATACCCACCTTTCTTTCGGACGGTTTTTCCCTGAAATTATTTCATGCTTCGGTGTAACTCAAGCACATCCCCAGCTGTGTGTGCTTCAGCAGATGTTACTTACAGGCGTCTGTTTTTCTTAAATTACTGGTATTCAGAAAATTTCTGGTAAACAATCTGGCTTTTGCTTTTGCTCAGGGCACATTCGGATCTCCGACTTGGGTCTCGCTGTTCAGATCCCTGAAGGGGAGACGATACGAGGGAGAGTGGGCACAGTTGGCTACATGGGTAAGAACTTCAACATGTTGATCCATCAGCTCCTTTCTTCCCATTTCGACTCTTTCTGTATACACTTTGCTATTTGACATTTACTTAACCAGAAAGTAACTCATAAAGATTAAGAAGTTGTAGCCTCGGTTCTCTGTCGAGCCACTTTACGTCACGGTCCACCCGCTGCTTCTCGTCCGCTCCACAGCTCCCGAGGTGATCCAGAACGAGAACTACACCTTCAGCCCGGACTGGTGGGGTCTGGGCTGTCTGATCTTCGAGATGATCCAGGGCCAGTCGCCCTTCCGGAAACGCAAGGAGCGGGTCAAGCGGGAGGAGGTGGACAGACGGGTGCGCGAGGACCAGGAGGAGTACTCTGATAAGTTCTCAGAGGATGCGAAGGACATCTGCAGGCAGGTGAGGAGGAAGAGACTGAAGGGACAGATGTCTCTCTGTGAGATCAGGGCAACGGTAAAGAACCTTTATAATCCATAGACACTTTGCAGCCTTAGCTGATATTAAATTATGTTTTTTTCTTGAGCTGTAAAAGATGCATCCTCTTCATAGGACATAGAAAAGTGTCTTCAGTCAGAGGCTTCTTCAAACTCACTGTAATACAGACTGCTACAGGAGATCTTTTCATCCATCACCATCCAGAGTAACTCTTTGAAGAATCTTGAATTAATGAGTTACAGCAGCCTTTAATTTTCCTTCAATAAAGTATTTTTCAATTGAATTGAATGAAGCTTAGAAGGAAGGTAACTTGTGTTTTCTAAATCTTTTATGAGAAAAATAAAATAATTTTTTTCTGTTCAGGATTTAGAGCAAAGAAATGCAAACTTTTATCAGGAAAGACGAAAGCCATTCCTTTATGTCATTTCCGTATTCATGGAAAAGGAAAATAAGTAAAGCAAATCATTCTGAACAAAAACTGATTCCTCGGTTTACTGTCACTTTATTGTGGAGGTTTTATGCAGATATTTAATTGGAACGTAGAAAAGTGAATTTTCTAAACTAAAGTATTTCTTATTTCTCTTCTAGATAAAAATATTGCTCATTTATATATCATCTGGACTATAGTAGAGATGCACAGGCTGCTGCAGCCTCTGAACGCAGCAGAGATGGAAGTCAAGAAAATGTATATAAATTACACATTCTCATTTATAACAGTACTGACCATTTGTAATTATTTCAAATAATTATTTTGTCTAACAAACTGTTACCTACCGTCTCTATTTCCCCTAGTGTTTCATATGGTCGTATTATTTCCCTTCACAATTTTGAAGAGCGAGCCACTGAGTGTGTGTGTTTCTGAGAGCAGGGCATTTTTTTTTTTTTTTTAAACTTAGTGGAACATTTTGACCCACAGTTCAGCATTTTTAAAGTCTCCCCAGTGAGAAGAGGAGTCAGGGAGACTCAGGGAAGAAGGGGCTCTGCGAGAAAAGGGTAAAAGGTAAATATGGAAGAGGAGAGAGCGCAGCGGGAGAGGGAGGGACGTCGGTCTCCAGGACGCCAGAGGGGCGGCGACTTCTACCGCCAGAAATAGACGAGTGAGCCGAGTGGGTGACAAGATTTAATATCGTCTAGGAAACTTTGCGTTATTTACGCAAAAGATGTAAAATGCAAGGCAAGCTAGGTTTTATTAATATTAACTACACTCTCTCTTGCTGCATTAGTACTTTGCAGTAGGGGTTTGTGTTTTTAATGTTCATCTCTCCTAAAGGTCTTTGAGAAAAGTGAAAAATGTAATTTCTCTAGCCGTTTCTTTGTTGCCCTCCTCCCCAACAGGAAACCTACTAGCCGACACGTCATTTTTCGCCTGCCTCTCTTCAGTCGGACCTTTTGAAGGTTCAGATGTTTAAGTCTGTTTTTCCTTCCCCCTGCTGGGTTTCAGCTCCTGGCCAAGGACCCCAAGGAGAGGCTGGGCTGTCGAGGTTGCGGGGCCACCGAGGTCAAGCAGCACCCCATCTTCAGAAACATCAACTTCAAACGGCTGGAGGCCAACATGCTGGACCCTCCCTTCATACCAGATGTAAGAGAGATGGACACACACACACACTCGCGCACACACACACACACACACGCATGCACACACGGCACATTGAGGCGCAGTCCGTCTGTATGCAGGAAATGCCATTGTCAGAAGGAAATGAGTTTATCATGGCAGCCAGTGGCTGTGGTGGACCCAGTATGTGATTGTAGTTTAATTTCAGCTCAACAGCTCAGTTTGTATGAAATAAACTGGACCAGTAGGTTTTTTTTAGTTATGAAAGTTACATCATTTGAGAGACTTTGTCGATAGTCAAATCATAGTCTTGCGCATCGTCTTTGATTTGTTTTTGTTTGTTAGTCTTTGTATCCAGCCTCTCTGAAGTGATGCTTTGTAGAACCATTTTTTCAGCATAGAGTCTTGCCACAGATGCTGAACGGTATTTAGGTCTGAACTTTGACTGGGCCATTCTAACATGATTATGATCTAAAACCAATCTATCATACTTCTGGCTGTGTGCAGGATTTAGAGCTGCATTGAACGATTATTCTGATAATAAGCTACATTATTGAATAAAAAAAATGGCACATTCAGCTGATTTTTTTTAATTTAACCACTTAAGCTTATTTTATACAATATCTAATGAACTCTCGATCATTTGCAGCTAAAAAGATACAAAATAAATACTTTAATAAACTCTTTCTGCTTCACTTCATGTTGTAGCGCTGATCTGTTGATGATGTTTTTTTCAATTTAAAAGTGGATATGAAAAGGTGTTTAATAACAAAATTTTACAGAATTTGAAACTGCAACTACGGCAGTGTAAGGGTTCTGGGTGGAAAATATTTACAAAGGTTTTTCATCTAAAATGCTTAATGTATATATTCTTTGCACGGTTTGGCTTACTCACACCTTGGAGAGTGTTTATCAGCATATGATTATTCGATGATTAAATTAGTTGATGATTATGTGGATAATGGATTGATCATGATTAATCCGATTAATTGTTGAACCTCCAGCCAGTTCAAATTTCACATCCTTACGCGTGTTTGTCTCCCGTGGCTTTTGACAAACTGCAAAGAGCACTTCTTATTGCTTTCCTTCAACAATTCTTCCAATGACTCAAGCGGCTGCAAGATTTAAGACTTTTTACAGATTTCGCATCACTTGTTCATTGTTCTTCCAGCTGCTTTTTCCTCCCGTACGTGTCTCACGTCCTTCGTTTTGCTCCTGTCTGTCCCCCTCTCAGCCTCGAGCCGTGTACTGTAAAGATGTCCTGGACATCGAGCAGTTCTCCACTGTCAAAGGCGTGAACCTTGACCCCACGGATGACGACTTCTACTCGAAGTTTGTCACAGGCAGTGTCTCCATCCCGTGGCAGAACGAGGTACTGCAGCCTGAAATGACATCATCCTAAAAGTCCCACAGAAATGACCTCACACAGGAATGTCTGATAGCTACAGAATAGAAAAAAAAGTCTGCTTCCTGAGTGTTTGGTCGCCTTGCAGTAGAAGTAAGGTATTTAAAAATATGACGTGGGATTTGTCGATTTTGCTCGTAGATGATTGAGATGGAGTGCTTCAAAGAAATCAACATCTATGAGACCGACGGGATGCTGTGCCCAGACCTGGACATGAACCGGCCCAACCCTCCACCGAAGCGGGGCTTCTTCTACCGCCTGTTCAGAAGAGAGGCAAGTGCTAGCGCTGCGGCGACTGTCCGAGGGGGTGGGGGCTAAGGTACTTCCTGCTTTCCTGGCTTTCCTCTTTTGTTGTCCATCCCGCAGGCCTTGTCCAAATTCAGAAAGGACATTACTTCACATGGAATCTGAAGGTTTTATTAATGCACCTTTGTGAGTTTGTTAGAATAAGGCCTGTCTCTTGTCTTTGTCCTTTTTCTGGGGTTGGCAGATTCACTACTTTTTATGTCCTCTGTGGTATTCGCTGTAAAACTGGCATTTTCATGTGGGAAGGCAGAACAGGAAACATTGCTTTAGGAAAAAAATATTTCAGTGTTTATCAGTCCTATGCAGTCATACTCCAGGAGCAGCTTCACTTTTTGTCACATTTAAACTACAAACTTCATGTTACTATGTGATTCTTCTCCTATTTTTATAAGGTGAAAGGATAGTTTTTGTCTTTATGTAGTTATTTATTTTCATATAAAAGCCACCATTTAGCCACCTTTCATGATTCACCTAAATATTGTATTGCATTTTCCCTTCACTTCACAATTATTTACCACTTTTTGTTGGAGCATTACATAAACTCTAAATGAAAACACTGAAGTTTTTGGTTGTGACATTTGAAGAATTTTGCAAAACAAGCTTTAGTTTCTCCTGCTTTTCCAAACCAGTGGATCATCTCCTTATGCCTTCATTCTTTTTTTTTTTTATTTTGTCTTTCAAATATGTAAAATATTTTCTTCTTTTACATTAATTTTCTTTAAAATACATACTGACTCAAGTTAGATTTTTTTCATTTAAAT